CTGAGCCCTGGGGCCGCCTCGGGCTGGCTGGTTCCTGCGGCCCGTGCCTCGTCCCTCGGGCCGGGGCAGGGCCGAGGCGTGCTGCAGCAGACGTGCCGCTGGGTCAGCCCTGGGGTGCGCGCCCTGGAGTATTGGCCGCCATTGCCGGCTGCTTGAGGCAGGACCTCAATGTTTGAAGCAAAATACTTCCGAGGTGACACTGCAGGAGGCTTTGCGTTTCCTGGCATAACAGAAGTTATGGTAACTGTTGGTGAGGAGGGGGCACACAAAGTGACGCCACATGCGAGGCAGGGGAGGGAGGCCGCGGGAGAAGCCACAGTCGCCAGCAAAACTGGAAGGGAGCAGCGGCGCTCCCGGCGTGCGGCCCCTCTGCACTCCCGCCTGTCCTCAGCTCACCCGGCAGCGCTGGCCGGCAGCACACCTGCGATGGAACATGGAATTTCCTTGCAACGTAAAGCAAAAGGAGTCTCTATCTTTTGGGTTTCTTCCACGATGCAAGTGAAATGGAAAGAAGGAAGTGTTTGGCTGGAATGCCTGGAAGAGAAGGGAGAGAGAGCAGAAGAGGGGGGCTGGGACAAGGGCTGGATTTAGGAATATGGAGGGAGGGAGGGAGGGAAATGGAGAGGAAGGGCTGCCAGCAGCTGCTGGCGCTGAAAGAGAACAGGAAATAAGAGACGATAAGAGTAAAGGGAGGAGGGGCAGAGGATGACGTTGCTGTGGTGGGCAAGGGCCATCTGAGACTCGAAAAGTGTGCCTGCCACTTGATTAATGTGTTTGAAAAATTCTGGGATGTCAGGAACGCTGTCAAACAGGTGACCTAACACAGTTCCGATGATTTCACCCTGTGCTATGTGTGCTTACTCTGGCCAGCAAGGATCAACCTTTACTTGAATATCTTAGTTGCTAAACTAGTTTTGGGTTGCACATTTAGCAAATATATGTGGAAGACTCTGATAGGATTGCATTGAGATTTTTTCAGGGTCCCTTCATCAATAATGCTAATGCTTTCCACGGGCAATGACAGCTCTGGAGCAAAAGAACATTTGGTGTTAGAAGCAAAGGGCTCTGTAATAGTTTGTGCTCTTTACTGCTGCAGAAAAGCTTACACTCTGCCGAGCACAATGTAAAACTGCATCCCAACTCAGGGGACTGCTTAGAAGAGTGACTTTAGCACTAGATCCCAGGTATATAAACAACTGGACACAACTTGAAGGACATTTATTTGTATAAAAGCATCTGTCTCTTTTCAGACTAGTCTACTGTGCAAAAAATGTGGTGACTTGTTTGTGTAGTGCTTCCTATCTCCAGTGATAAGCTTACTAAAATTAGGAGTTATGAAATAACTTAATTTTTAAACTGCTAACAACTGTCGGGTTGAAATTCACAAATTTGCAAAGAACTAATTTAATGTCCTGAATTTAATCCCTGCTGGTATGTTTCAATCCTAAAGACAAATATATTTCACCAAAATAAAATCTTGTTTTTTAATGGTGTTTTTATTCCCACATTGAGCATCCTATTTGTATGCTTTATTTTATTGGGGTTTGAACAGCAATGTTTTGGAGTGGGAGGCTTCTAGGGTGGTTTCTGTGAGAAGCTGCCAGGAGCTTCCCCATTCCCCATGTCCCACACAGTCAGTGCCAGCCAGTTCCAAGGCCACTGGCCAAGGTTGAGCCCATCAGTGACGGTGGTAGCAACTCTGGAATAACAGATTTAAAAAGGGGAAAAAAGCGATTGTGCAGCTGCAAACCAGAAAGAGGAGTGAGGATGTATGAGAGGAGCAGCTCTGCAGACATCAGGTCAGTGAAGGAAGAGAGGAGGAAGTGCTTCAGGCACCAGAACAGAGAGTTACTTGCAGAATTTGATGAAGACTGTAGTGGGGCAGGCTGTCCCCTGCAGTCCACAGAGGTCTGCAGTGGAGCAGAGATTCACCAGCAGGCCATGGAATACCCATGCTGGAGCAGTCTGTTCCTGAAGGACTGCGCCCAGCTGAAGAGGCCCACGCTGGAACAGTTTGAAAAATTGCAGCCTGTAGGAAGAATTCACGTTGGATAAGTTCATGAAGGACTGTCTCCAATGGGAGCCACCCCACAGTGAAGCAGGGGAGGAGTGTGAGGAGTCCTTCCGCTGAGGAGGAAGGAGCAGCAAAGACAAGGTGTGATGAACTGACCAAGCCACCAGTCCCAGCCCCCCTTCTCCACTGAGGAAGAGGTAGAGAATTTGGGAGAGAAGTTGAACCCGGGAAGAAGGGAGGGGTAGGGAAAAGTGTATTGGTTCTATTTCTGATTATCTCACTCTAATTCAATTTATTATCAAACAAGTCAGTTTCCCCAAGCTGCGTCTGTTTTACCTGTGACAGTAATCAATTAATGATCTCTCTCTACTTTGATTTCTACCCACAAGACTTTCAGTGTATTTTTCTCTTTGTCCAGTTGCAACAGGGAGTGGTAGGGTGGCTTTGGTAGGCACATGGCTTCCAGACAGGGTTAACCCGCCACATTTATTTAAGACATAAAATATTCCCCTTACCCAAAGATCTGATGGCAATGGCCTAGTGATTTGCCCTTTTCAGAAATTAATGTTATGTTTGCACTATGACTGTGTTTTTGGGGTCTCTTTTCAATTTTTTTCTTTCAAGAAGCTCATACCTAGGGTAGATATATAGGAAGGGTTCCATTGTTCCTAGGCACTGTATGGGAAAACGGTGAGAGGTAGATAATCCATGTGTTCCTTTGGATTCATTGGAGATATCATATACCTTTCCACTTGCTCTTATATACAAGTGTCTCTGCCAGTCTTCCTATGGGCTAGATGGTGTTGGAGTAATAAGGCAATAAAGGATTGACAAGGTTACATTTAATTTTCTAGAGCACAGTAATCTCCAGTTCTGTTTAGGATTCCTGTGTATGATTTTACCCCAGTACTCTTCTTACTTTTCTTAATAATGCTGCATAGCAAAACTCAGATGCCTGCACTTACCATCTGCATAGGACCCGCATTCCTTGGAAGAGTTCACATGGGACCTACCAAGGCCTTTCTGTTCAGGTGACCACAGCCACAGTCAAAGTCAGATAGCAATTGTTGTTACCAGCGCAGCAGAGCAGCCCAGATTCCAGGAAAAGTTGTTTCTATAAAGAGAAGAACATGGTTTAAAGATCCTTGAATCCTAACCAGAGATTTCAAACCTTTATAGTATCAGTTCAAAATGAAGATAGAAAAAATGGAGAGGCAGACAAAATGGAATTTGTAGTTCAAAGTCCCTGATATAAAGCAAATTCTTAATGATACTAGAGCTATTTTCACTATTGTCACAGTAAGTTATTAGCTGCGTTTTGTGAAAAACAACTGTGTTTTTTACTGCTGAGGAATGTCCTGTCTTACAACCATTGTCTTTGCACTGTGTTTGCTGTAGATCGATGCCTCCATTCTCCAGTACTTTGGAAGCCACACAAGAAGAGCAGTTCTCTATGCACCTCCTGCTCACCATGAAACTGACCGTCTGCTCTGTCAGCGAATCCTGGCAAAACATGGATATACAGTCACAGTCCTTGAAAACAGGGGACTCGTGGAAGATCTGAGGCATGAGGGCCCTTACAGTAAGAATAATTGGACTTAGTTAATATGTTAATTAGTAAGCGTGGTCACTAAATGTAGAATTGATCCAGTGTTCTTCAACAAACATAAAGCATAAAAACTCTGATAAAAGTATTGCTAGAAGCCATATTCTAGCCTTCCTCAGATGTGTGGATAATTTTAGGTGATTATTCCATTAGCTATACCCTTCTGTAAAAAAATGCAGAAGAGTAGTTCATCATAGTCTTGACAACTAAATCAGATCAGTTTGGTTCCTGATGACTTCTCATACCAACTTCATCAATATAATGGAGGATTTTCAATAGAATGTTTCATAACAAAACACATACCTGCTACACTTTCTACCTTATCCTTTTCTCTCCTAAAGAAAACTTGTTTGTGTGAAGGTTATTTTTTCCTCTAGGAATATTTTGATTGTTCTGTAAATTTGTTAAAGAATGCAATATAGAACAAGTACATTTTGCACTTTATGCTGAATCTGGGATAGATTACTCTTAGTTCTCAGTTCCTCTTGAAATTTGATCCACACTTCAAGCAGTCTACTGAAGAATCCTGATCTATTGCACAAAGGCCTGTAGCTTTACTGTGTAGAGTTACACTGTGTTTGATAGAGAAGTTTGGGCACCAGCTAGCTATGTGATGACCATATTTGAGTGTTCTTGGACACGTCAGAGGTATGAACTGAAATTGTGATGCCACTTTGGTCTTGGAAGTCAATTCAGGAAATGGAAGGCTTTGGAAAAAGTACATAGGTTACTATTCTGCCAGAAGAAAAATGGTATAGTTGGGTATTTCTTGTGCTAAAGGGAGTACTGTTTGCATCATTCAGGCTTGTGATATACTTCTGGAGCTACCAGAGAGCTTGGGTTTGCTTTGAGTTTTAACCAAACCAGATAATTTCATAGATAAAAACTACAGTTACTTAGCATGCTTGAGATTGCTCAAAATTCCATCATTAATTTCAAGTTTCTCTAAGAAACTTTACTGAAAATGAGATACATGTGGTTTTCTTTGGCAGACAGTATCAAAAAGTAGTAAATTTTCTTCACCTTACTCTTACTTTAATCTAGTTTTGTAGTCATCTTTTAGCAACTCTTTGCCTTGAGTACTTTCCATTTGAGATGCACCATATCTTGCAGACTTTGCTAATGTCAGATGGGCTGCAGAGAAAAGTTG